TCTCTGTTTCCATGAGTTTGTCTTAGATTCCACAGATGAGATCCTATAGTTGTCTTCCTCTGACTTATTTCACTTAGCATAATGCCATCAAGTTCCCTCCATGTTGTTGCAAATGGCAAGATTTCCTTCTTTTTATGGCTGAATAGTATTCCACTGTGTGTGTGTGTGTGTGTGTGTGTGTGTGTGTGTGTGTGTGTGTTCACATCATTTTCCATGTATCTAGTGATAGACACCTTTTTTTGTCTTAGCTGTTGTAAATAATGTTACAATGAACAAGGGGGTGCATGTATCTGTTCAGTACAGTAATTTTGTTTCCTTTGGCTATAATACCCAGAAATAGAATTGCTGACTCATATGCTAGTTCTATTTTTAATCTTTTGAGGAGCCTCCATACTGTTTTCCATAGTGGCTGTGAATTTACATTCCCACACACAAGGGTTCCCTTTTCTTCACATTCCCTCCCCCATTTGTTGTCTCTTGTCTTTTCGATGTTGGCTCTGACGGGTGTGAGGTGATACCTCATTGTGGTTCTGATTTGCATTTCCCTGTTGATCAGTGATGCTGAGCACCTTTTCATGTACCTGTTGGCCATTTAAATATCTTCTTTGATCTTTGAGAAAATGTCTATCTCGGTCCTTTGTTCATTTTTCATTGGATTATTTGAGGGTTTTTTCTATTGAGTTGCTTATATAGTTTGGATATTAACCCCTTACGGGATGTGTTCTTTGCAAACATTTTCTCCCATTGTGTAGGTCGCCTTTTCATTTTACTGATGGTTCCCTTTGCTGTGCAGAAGCTTTTTAGCTTGACATAGTCCTACTTGTTTATTTTTTTTGTTTTGTTGCCTGTGCCTTGGGTATCGTAGAGCTCCATTGTAAGACCTATTGAATTTGAGATGCCCATGGGACACCCAAATAAAGACATCTAATAAACTGGTGGGTCTACTGATCCTCCTGTAAGTTATTTAAACTCTCTGAGGCTTAGTTTTCTCTTCCGTAAAATGGTGATATTATCTATCTGGTAGAGTTAACGCTCACTGAGAATAAATTAATGGAGCGATGGATGCCTAGCCTATTATATCATTTTTATCACACAACTTAGAGCTCGATTCTTTCCTGTAAGATGTAGGAGTTCAATTTGTTCGTGCACGCTCCATAATTAGACAATACATTCCTCAGTAACAGGGACCTTCTCTTTTGTCCGTCCCAATAAAGTGTCACCACAGCTGTAGAAGTGGATAGAGGCCCAGGACGCAGGACCCCGTCCTCCTCCAGCCATCTCTCTCCCAGTGGGTGGAACCAGCATCCATTTCATCACTGGCGCTAGAAACCTGAAGTTCTGTTGAACTCCCCCTCCTCTTTCTCCAGGCAGACAGTCTACCGCACCAAGTTCCAATGATTGCACCTCTGGGAATTTCTCAAAACCCTCTCTTCCTCTACGTCCTCCCACTGTCCTAGCTCAGGCGTAATCTTCTCCCAGTTACGGGACAACAATAGCTTTCTTACTGGTCTCTTCGCCTCAGGTCCAGCCCCGTCAAATCCATCTTCCAAACAGCCAGCAAAGAAAGATATTTACAATAAGATAGATCTATCCAGAATAGATAGCCTAATGTCACTTCTGGGCTTCCCCTTTAAAAGCTTTCTGATGGACTCGGGGCACCTGGGTGGCTCAGTCGGTTGAGCATCTGACACTTGATTATTGGTTGAGCTCAGGTCATGAGCTCAGGGTCGTGGGATCGAGCCCCATGTCGGGGCTCAGCGCGGAGCCTGCTTAAGATTCTCTCTCTCCCTCTCTCTCTCAAATAAACAAACAAACAAACAAATACAAGCTGTCTGGCAGACTCAAGCTGCTTAGTCTGGGAGACAGGAGGTCCCCTGCAAACTGGCCCTGCCTGTATCTCAGCCTCCCAGCCCACCTCTCCAGAATTCTCTCCTCCCACCTCCAATCTGAAGGGCTAGGCTCCTGCGAGAGGGAGATATTTGAGGTTCAGCCACACCCACTTTTGGGTCTGGCTTCCGCAGGTTGCGCCCTCTGCCTGAGCTGCATTTTGCTGTCACCTGACTCCTCTGTCCCCTTTCCAAATCGGCTCAGTTGTCACGCCTCCAGGAAACCTTTCCTGCCTCCTCTTCAGCACCTTTTTGCCACAGTGGACTTAGGTGCCCCTCACCTGTGGTCCCATATGCTCTGTGCACAGAGCCGTCCTTGCTCTGACTATGCTTCGCTTTATCTGTGCGAGGGTCTGTCTGCCTCACTAGCACATGTAAATTCCATGAGGACAGAACATCTCAGTCATCATAGATCTTGGGAGTATGTGTATATACATATACATTTATTCATATATATATTTATTCACACACACACACACACTGTTCACACTTGTGAAAATATGCTTTAAGTTTTTTTAATGTTTATTTATTTTTGAGAAAGAGAGAGAGACAGAGAGCAAGCAGGGAAGGGGCAGAGAGAGAGGGAGACACAGAATCCGAAGCAGCTCCAGGCCCCGAGCTGTCAGCACAGAGCCCAACGTGGGGCTCGAACTCACAAACTGTGAGATGGTGACCGGAGCCGAAGTCAGATGCCTAACCGACCGAGCCACCCAGGTGCCCCGAAAACATTCTTCAATGTTGACGGAGCACCAGACAACTCCAGTGAAGGCTCCAACTTGTGATTCTTTTTTATTTATTTTTTACACAGCAGTTTACTAAAGCAAAAAATATATTCAAGGTGGGAGAGTGGGCAGGTTCCCAGAGGTGGAACTGGCCCCTACTTTTGATTCTTAAACTTATTAATTCGAAGTCCTTCATCTGGAGGCGCCTGGGTGGCTTGGTCGGTTAAACATCCAACTCTCGAGATCAGCTTAGGTCCTGATCTCACTCTTGTGAGACTGAGCCCTACATTGGGCTCTGTGCTGAGCGTGGAGCCTGCTGGGGATTCTCTCTCCCTCCCCCTGCCCCTCCCCCTGCTCACATGCTCTCTCCCAGACAGGACTGAAAACATAATTCGCAGGACCCACTAAAAACCAGAAATGTAGGGGCGCCTGGGTGGCGCAGTCGGTTAAGCGTCCGACTTCAGCCAGGTCACGATCTCGCGGTCCTCAGAGCCTGGAGCCTGTTTCCGATTCTGTGTCTCCCTCTCTCTCTGCCCCTCCCCCGTTCATGCTCTGTCTCTCTCTGTCCCAAAAATAAATAAAAACGTTGAAAAAAAAAATTTTAAAAAAACCAGAAATGCAGATCCCCTTGTTCAAAAATCATTAAGAATCTCAAGATGAGACCATTAAGATCTCAAGCAATGGCAGAGCGTTAAACCAAACCCAAGGCTCCTCTGAGCCCAGGGTCTTGTGTGACTGCGCAGGTCGCATGCCCATGAAGCCAGCTCTGGTGCAAGGGTCCTCGAATCAACCCTAACTAGTACCTCTAATGTGTTAGGGGCCACTCTGATTTGATGCTCAGCCCTCCCTAGTTAGGAAGCGTGGACCTCGTTAGCTCTTTGCATACACTCTTCATTAGACCCTGGTCTCTTTTTAAGAACTTTCATTTTGGGAGCCTTGTGCCACCGTTACGCCTACTCCTTTCCCGTCGTCATACTGCCCGTGAAAAAGCGTGCTGTCTCTCCCTCTCCCTTCCCAGTTTGTCCAAGATCCACGTTCAGGGGCGGCTTACAGATCTAGCCTGAAGCTAGCTAGTAAGGAAGATCTCCACGGGTCTGATGAGAAGCAGCTTCCAGCGAGTCGTGAGGGTCCCCACCCCCACCAGCGTCCCGCCCCATGTGCCAGCAACCTGCACCCTGGGCATGCTGGGAAAACCTCCCACCCAGGCCTTTGCCCTGGGTCCAGAGTCTGCGCCCTATCTAGGTTGTCGCTGGGACCCACTGGAGGCCACCCACAACAGAAGTGCCTTGTTTTCCAGGCGTGGAGGGCCATACTCCCTAACTCCAAACACTGGCAGCGTGGGAGTTTGGGGAGAGGTGTCCCACACCAGATGCTGAGCCCTGCAGGTGACTGGCCCAAGAGTAGCAGGTAGGACATCTTGGGGGGGGGGGGGCGGGTCCAAAAAGCAACAAATTACGGGGGCGCCGGGCGGGGGGGCGGGGGGCTCAGTCGGCCGACTTCAGCTCAGGTCACGATCTCCCGGTTTGTGAGTTCGAGCCCCGCGTCGGGCTCTGCGCCGACAGCTCGGAGCCTGGAGCCCGCTTCGGATTCTGGGTCTCCGTCTCTCTCTGCCCCCTCCCCCACTTGTGCTCTGTCTCTCTCTGTCTCTCAAAAATACGTAAATGTAAAATAAATACATAAAAGCAATAAAGTGCAGATAATGCAGAGGGTCAGATCCAGGGCGGGTTCGGGAAGGGGGTCTCTAAGAGGGGGAGAAGGGGGTCAAGGGTACCAGGAGCTGACCGCTGACCCTTCCCACATTCAGGGGCCCGTGACGGCCACTCCAACGTCTGAAGCCATGGCCAGTGGGGAAGACGAGCCGAGGAACTGTGCGGTGTGCGGGGACCGAGCCACGGGCTACCACTTCCATGCCCTGACTTGTGAGGGCTGCAAGGGTTTCTTCAGGTGAGAGCCCCCCTCCCCGTAGAAACAACCTCCCAAACCGCCCGCCGGGCAGCCTTTAAGCCCCGGCACGTGCGCGAGCTTGTCCAGCTACAACCCCAGAGCCTGCATCCCAGAGCCCGACTACCCCGTGGCCAGCATGTTCTATCTTGCCAACCTCAACACTGAGCCAACAGGTGATACGATAACAGAGGGAAGGCCGAGGGTTTGTGCTATGGACACAACCCCTTAGTCGAGAGTGCCGATTCCGTGCCCTACGGAGATGCTTGTGTTGTACCCTACCCACACCCCCCCCCCCCCAGGGACCCTTGGGCACAGCTCAGATTAGCCTACGTCACCGCAGATCCTTTTAGACCACGTCATCTCAGACCCTCACGTCGCCACCCGTTTCCTGCCATCCCCGCCCGCCCTCCCAAACGTCTCTGTCTCCCACAGACGAACCGTCACCAGAAGCACTGGTCTCACCTGCCCCTTTGCTGGACGCTGTGAGGTCAACAAGATCCAGAGACGTCACTGCCCAGCCTGCAGGTTGCAGAAGTGCCTGGATGCTGGCATGAAGAAGGACAGTGAGTTGGCCCCTCCCAACACGAGCCTCCATGGACCAGGTCTCTCGGCCTTGCCCTTGGTCCCACAGCGTGTACGTCACACAAGAAGAGTAGAAACAAGTCCGACGATGTTACTATTCCGCCCAAAACCCCAGCGGCTCCTCGTCCGCCTTACGGTCCGTGATCCCACGACCCTCTCCCTCCTACTCTTTCCGCCTGGCTCAGCCCATCACGGCCACACTCAAGCCACACAGTGCGGCTGTCAAACACACTCCTGGGGACCCGTGTGCTGGCATTTGCTGTCCCCTCCACCAGGAATCTGCTTGCCCCAGATGTTCACGTGGCTTGACCTTTCTCTTCTATGTTTCACATATAGTGCCTGTCACTCAGTAGGTACTTGATAACCATTAATCACTTGCTGTCATTTCTCCGCGCCAGGTACCCAGGCTATGCTCCCCACAGATAGTCTCCCCGGGGCTCGCAGAAGTCAATGTGCCCCGGGTTCGCTCAGCTACAAAGCTACACCATCTGTATTTAATCTCTTCTGTCTGACTCCCAAGGCCTTGCTTTTCCCATGACATCACACGACTTTTCCATACGGAGCAGTGGAAAGGAAACCGTGGAAGTTAAAAACAAACAAACAAAAAAAATTCAAGCTCCGTCACTTAAGTGTTTGTGACCTTGGACCTGTCACTGGGGTGTCAGCCCGCTCATGTCTCTGAAAAACACAGATAATAACACCCGCCCTGTCTACCCAGAGGGTTACTGCATCTAGGGAGATTTAACCTCAGAACCCTCGAAATGAGAGCGCTATATGGAAACATACGGTGACGTTTTAGGCATCCAGGGCCCTCCCTCGTCAGTGTTGGCCCAGGAGCCAAACATCTCCCTTCACGACGACCCCCTTACCCTCCACCCTTCCTTATTCCGCCGCGGGGCCCTTTTCTGCCGCAGGGCCTGGCAGGATAGAAAAGTGGCCAGGAATTCCCTTGCGGCCCGGAGCCTCGAGGATTTCCGCCAAGCCCTCCCGCCCCACATCCTTCACCCTGCTGGGTACCAGAGGGGTCCCGGACGTGGGGCTGGCAGAGACGGGTGCTCTGGGCTGGTCTCAGTGGCTCTGTCATCTGTGTTCCCCGGACACAGTGATCCTGTCGGCAGAGGCCTTGGCGCTGCGGCGAGCAAAGCAGGCCCAGCGGCGCGCGCAGCGAGCACCCAGCCAGCTGAGCGACAAGCAGAAAGAGCTGGTCCGGACTCTCCTGGGGGCCCACACCCGCCACGTGGGCACCATGTTTCACCAGTTTGTGCAGTTCAGGGTGAGCCTTGACAGGCTTCGGGCCGGAAGGTGACCACAAGGGTGCCCAAGGGGGGCTGACCTGAGGGAGGGGGGCTGTGTTCCAGGCACCGATACGGAGGACGAGACTTCTCCAGAACCCCCGGTGTAGACAGACAGACGCCTCAGCCCAGCGCCCTTCCAAGCCAGGGCCGGAGCGGCCGAAAGAGAGCCTCTCACTGAGGCTCTGATCTCTGCAGCCTCCCGCTCATCTGTTCGTCCGCCACCAGCATTTGCCCGTCTCGGTCCCCGTACCGCCTCTGCTGACGCACTTCGCAGAGATCAACACCTTCATGGTGCAGCAAATCATCAAGTTCACCAAGGATCTACCCCTCTTCCGGTACGTGACCTCCCCTTTACCCTTCAGGAAGAAAACACTCCAGGAAGTCATAATCCCCAGACGCACACCAAAGGGAAAAAAAAAAAAAAAAGTCACCGACCCCCCTCACCCACCCTGCATCCTGTCCGAGCACCAGGTCATGAATCCCCAGCTTTGTTTTTAAGTATCTCCCTCAGGGGGCGCCTGGGTGGCGCAGTCGGTTAAGCATCCGACTTCAGCCAGGTCACGATCTCGCGGTCCGTGAGTTTGAGCCCCGCGTCAGGCTCTGGGCTGATGGCTCGGAGCCTGGAGCCTGTTTCCGATTCTGTGTCTCCCTCTCTCTCTGCCCCTCCCCCGTTCATGCTCTGTCTCTCTCTGTCCCAAAAATAAAATAAACGTTGAAAAAAAAAAAATTTAAGTATCTCCCTCAGAACCGGGGGGGGGGGGGGGGGGGGGCTCCTCTCCCTGTCTGAAGTTCAGGGTGGAGCCTGAGGTGCTCTCGTCCCCTGCTCCCCACAGGTCCCTGCCCATGGAGGACCAGATCTCCCTTCTCAAGGGAGCGGCTGTAGAGATCTGCCATATCGCCCTCAACACGACCTTCTGCCTCCAAACACAAAACTTCCTCTGTGGGCCACTCCACTACGCGATAGAGGACGCAGCCCACGGTGAGACGGCGCTAGAACCGCAGAGGGCACGTGCCCTTCGAGGTGTGGTGTGCGGCCAGGTGACCCGACGGATCCTAAGCCTGGCGTCTCCCACAGTGGGCTTCCAGGAACAGTTTTTAGAGCTGCTCTTCCGCTTCCACGGGACCCTGAGACGACTCCAGCTCCAGGAGCCCGAGTATGTGCTCATGGCCGCCGTGGCCCTCTTCTCTCCCGGTGAGCGTCCCCAAAGCCCAGAGGGGCGCCTCCGCCTCTGCCCCCACTCCCAGCCCCGTGAACCCACCCACGACCGGGGCTCTGTCTTCAAACCCAGCCTGGGCCCGTTCCGCATGGCAGGCCCGCGCCCGACCCCACCCGTCCTTCCCCGCCACCCCCACCTCCTTCCAGACAGGCCTGGGGTTACCCGGAGGGAACAGATTGATCATCTGCAAGAGGTGACGGCACTGACCCTGCAGAGCTACATCGAAGGCCAGCAGCCAAGGCCTGGGAGTCGGTACGGGGGGCCCCGGGGGGGGGTGGGGGGGGGCTGGAGGCTACGCCAGGGCACGAAGGCGAGGGAAACGCTGAGCTCAGGGGGAATGTTTTTACTGTCCCTTCCTCTGGGAAACCGGGTCCCTCGGGGGCTCGAGTCCTTCCCTCGTGCCTCGTGTAGTTCCAGCATCCAAAGTGCCCCTACGGGCGTGTCACCTGATTTTTTCCAGATTTTTTTTTTTATTATTATTCGGTAGAGATGCAAAGTAGGAGCTGGCAGGCTCTGTATAACAGCATTCCTGAGATTGATGACATCCGCTCTCTCACCCGTCCACTCTCCAGGCTCAAGCAGCCGGCCAAGTCTCTCGTTCGCTCTCTTTCCTTGGCCCTTCCCCTTCTCTCCGTTGGGCCCATTAATGTTTCATTCATTCCCCCCTTGAAGTCAGGGTCGTTCAGTTTCACGGCCCAGGCCGGTGCCCTGGCCCAAAAGTCCGTGATCTACTCAGGCTCTGAGGGACACTCCCCTTGTTCTCGGCTGTTCCTCAATGAGCCGGTTTGGCCAGGAGAGGGATGCTGCTTTACACCACAGGACGCACCCACCTTCTAGAACCTGCTCTAGAAGACCCGATCCACAGACTCCACACAGGTGACGTCCTGGCCACATCTGGGGCTTTCTTCACACTTGGCCCTCAGACCTCTGGGTTCAAGAAATACGGCATGGTGAGAGAGGAAAGTGTCAGAGGACCCCCTCGGGGACCTTTTGGAATTCTGGATAAACTTGTCCTACCAGAGCGTGATTTTCTCTAGGGGTCAGACCTAGCTTTGCCGAGGGACAGTTCAGGGGCTCAGGACGTCAGGGCAAGACTCTCAGCTACCTTATTTTCCTCCTCTTTCCCTGGTGACCCCACCGCTTCCTCCAAAGGTTTCTGTATGCGAAGCTGCTGGGCCTGTTGGCCGAGCTCCGGAGCATTAACAACGCCTTTGGCTACCAAATCCGGCACATCCGGGGGCTGGCCGCCATGATGCCACTGCTCCAGGAGATCTGCAGCTGAGGCCCCAGCCCATGTGGACACACGGGACTGGGGAAGGGGGAAATACTGGGGCCAGAGGTTGGGACCCGTAGAAAGGGAGCCCGGTGGTTGCAATGAAAGACCAAAGCGGTAACTGCCTCTTCATGCAGTCTTGGGGGCCGTGGGGGATGACCACGGGGACAGAGTTGTTCTCCGGAAGCACAGAAAATGAGGAAGGAGGGAGCCTCGGGGCGAAGAGGTAAAGAAGCGCCTTCCGGGAAGTGAGGGGGGGCCCACTTTCCCAGGGCAAAGATTTAGCCCTTCAGACTCTGGGATGGAAAACAGGACGGGGAGCTGATCCCATGCAGACTTTTCTGCTCTGAAGAGGAAGACGCTGGGAGCTTTAATCGACAGGGAGATGTAGAAGGGGGCGGGGGGGGGGTAGTGAGGGGAGAGAAGTCAGCCAGACAGACCCCCTAATCCTTCTCCCTCGGTCCAGAGCCACAAGAGCACGGGAAGAGGACGCCGGGGGGGGGGGGGCGGCAGAGGTCGGAGCCTCACGACAGCCCCTCGGCAGCCGCCCCTGCGGCAGCCCCAGTTCTGAGGAGGGCACGGCCCTGTCCCCCACTCTGCTCCTGGGACCTAGAGGTCACCCAGCAGGGTGGGCTCTGGAGAGGGGCCTAGTCTCTGGCCCTCGGGCACCTGACTCGGAGGCTCCAGCTTCAGCGGGTGCCGGCTCTGGGACAACCTCAGCCCACAGTGATGCTGAACCCACAATGGAACCTGTTGCGCCAGTGGTTGAGGAAGGCTCCGAGGGCTAGGGTGACAGGCAAGGGGGGCATCTTCTTCTCCAGCACGGCACCCACACACCAGTTACTGTCCACCAAGCCTGTGGGGGAACGGAATGTAGACCGGGTTAGGTATTTATTGTTTTAATTTTTCTTAATGTTTATTTCTCTGGTGGGGGGGCGGGGCGAGAGAGAGAGAGAGAGGGAGACACAGAATCCAAAGCGGGCTCCAGGCCCTGAGCTGACAGCCCAGAGCCCGACGCGGGGCTCGAACTCAAGAACCCCGAGATCATGACCTGAGCCGAAGTCGGATGCCTGACCGACTGAGCCCCCCCCCCCGACCCCCAAGTGCCCCTGGACCGGGTTATTTAACAGGGTTGCAGAAAGGGGTCAGAAGTAAGGTGGACCTTCCCTCCCTCGGTCCCCCCAAGCCCTCGGCACCTGCGAATGCCGTCCGAATGACCCTCACCTCTAAACATCATGTTGGCCTGGGGCAGAGTCAGGTGGTAACCAAAGGAGAAGGTTGTGTCTTGTAGCCTCGTGTTTGCCTCAAACTCCACCCCGACCTGAACCTGAGAAGCAGGGCAAGGGTGGGAGAGGGATCTGTCTCAGTGAGGCCTCGAGGAGCCCTGACGGGGGACCCGCGGGATGAAGGCAGGCGGGGGGCAACGTCTGTGCCGTGTGGGTAGGAAGAACAGTAGGCCAGCAGGGCCCGTGGCCGTCTGGAGGGGTCAGAGTTCACGACTGACTTGCGGGGGCGGAAGATGGCGTCGGTAATCTCACCTGTTCGTTGGCCCTGTGGTAATAACTTGCATGGGCCCCACCTGATCCCACATTCAACGTGGCCACCCAGTGCAGGGCTGTCGAAACCAAAGGGGAGGAGACGAGGGGCGTTACTGTAGCAGGACACGGGCCAGGAGCCCTCGCCAAGGCCGGCATTTCCCCTCCCCATCACTGCTCCCCCCTCGCCCCATACCCGAGTACTTCCCAGCCAGGGTCAAGATGGCCCCCTCTTCGCCTGGCCGCCGGTGATAAACTAACTCTCCTCCCAGCACCAGCCGATGGGTGAGGCTCTGCAGGAAGTGAGCGACCATGATCACTGCGGGGTAGTGGAGACACATGGCATCGGTCACAGGGACAACGTCCGGGCCTGCTCCGCCGCCCCGGCCCACCCAAGAACTTTCCAGTAACCGATCTGCACAGACGACGACGACGACGACGAGGCCTAGCCAACGTTAGCAAGTGATCAGCCAAGATCAAAAGAACCCTGTGCCAATTCCTCACCCGACTCCCCAATCAGGTCAGGATTCCCCAGGGTCAGAGTAGCTGTGTAATCATCTCCTCGATACTCGCCATCGAACTGCCACGTCAGGAACTTGGCCTGCTGCGTCTGCAGCGGGGAGAAAAAGGAGTGAAGCCTTCCTCCTCCTTTGCGGTCACCGGGGCCTCCGCTCCTCTCGCTGGAGCCCCCAGAGCAGGACACCCGTGGAGGAGGACAGGCTTCAGCGGATAGAGGTCGGGACCGTGGGTCACCTGGAAGACAGCCTTGGCTCGGAGCCGCTCTGCCAGGAGGAGCAGGACCTGGGCGTTGAGGCTGCCGCTGCTGTCCATATCCCCTACCACGGTGGGGAACACCTGTTGGAGAGGGTCCCCAGTAAGACCCAGCTGGTGGGGGGCACCGCTCCGCCTCCATCCAACTCGCTAGGATTTCTTTACCGGTACCCAGCGCCCCCTGGTGGAGCCACAGAGATAGACTTCTTCTCGCTCCACCTTTCCCCCCTCTCTCCCCTTCAGAGGAAACACAGAGAAGCAGGTGCCCTGTACGCTCTTCCCCATAACACACACATTTCCTCCTCCTCTAGGCCCGAGTCCCGGCTGGGCTTTCAGGGAGATGACCCCGGCGTGAGGAGTCCTCACCTCTGTGGGGCTAAGTTGCCAGTCCCCCGCGTAGGCCGCGTGGAGGTGATAGCCTGGCAAGCCCAGAGCACTCATATGCACGGTGTGAGCCACCTAAGGAAAGAGAAGTCACTGGAGGAAAGCGTTCCTGCCGATTTCAACCCCCTCCCCGCCAGCTGCTCCCCAGCCAGATGGCCCTTTAAGAATCCCAAAGATTCCACATAGCCAACACCAGACAAAAAGCAACAAGTCCCACAGGCAAGGGAAGCAGGGAGAGCCCCACAGCCTCCCTCATTTGTCCCACAGAGCCTGCTTAAGGCTTGAGTACAAAGGCAAGGAGGAGAGGATCCAGGGATAGGCGGGGAGGGATAGTGAGGAGGGCCAGAGAAGTGGGAGCACCTGGAAATGGCTGCTCAGAACCTTGTTGACAACGAGCTTCACTCCCTCCATCTGTGCTGGGAACACATCTGAAGGGGGTGGAGGGGAGGGGAAGGGGAGGAATAAGCACAGACAAGGCACCCCTACCCCCAGAGGTAAGTCTCCCCTTCCAATCCCATAGAAAGCACTTTGGAGGATCTGACCTCCTTTCGAGTCCTATCACGAAATGCTCCACTCCATTCAGGCACGGGATCCTCCCAGGGGCTGGATGCCCCGGCTGTGATCTCCCTTTCCTGCTCCCATCACTGGACACCCAGCATTCAGGACCCTCCCCTGCTCTGCCCCTTCAACTTGAGACACCCACATGCCAAGTTCTCACCTTTGCATAGCCGGTGCAGCTCATCGAAGCTCCCAGGGTTGGGCAGAGGTTCCTCTCGCCGGGGGCTCCGGCGGGGCAAAGCCCCCATCGGTGCCAGGCCCAGTGTGTTCCCCATTTCAGTCCAGAGGACAGGGGAGGGGCCGGGGTTAGCCTGAGAAAGGACGCTATTGCTCCCTCTACCCCCCACGGGCCCCACCCCCCATCATCCGACTCCCCAGTCCCAGAAACTTCCACATGGTCCGACGCTACACCTGGAACAGGAAGAGTGGGGAGAGGGCACCGGTGGGGAGACTGAACCCCAGACACCCCCACACTCCCGTCCCATCTTCGATCCTTCACCCCCACCTGTCACCCCCTCCCCTCCCCCATTCTCTAACCCTAGCTCCCACACAGACCTCACCCAGCTTCCCAGTCTTTCTGCTCTCCATTCCTAGGCCCCAAGGCGAGGCTTGCAATGAAGCAGTAGCTCTTACCGTCTCAGACTATCCTGCTGCCTCCTTTCCCCCGGCACACCCCGGTCATCTTGATGGGGGCAGCCATCTTGAGTGATGGCAGAACTGCGGCTTCACGCTGCATTCCCAGCGTGGTCATCCACGCCATCTTGGAATCGGGCAAAAAAAAGACATCAAAGATCCGACCGACCCTCCCTTGATTGGGCCCCGCCCAATCGATAAAAAAAAAAAAAAAAAAGCTGCCTCCCTCTCCCCGCGGCCAATGGGAGAGGAGGAAGCGAAGGAGTGGCAGACGCAGGTCCAGGGAGCTCCAACCCAGGCACTGCAGAGGCGGGCGGGACTTGATTGGTAGCTCCTTAGACTTACTCAAGTGGATGGCCTTAGATCGCCCGGCGTCTACAAGGTCGGGGGGAGAAAAGCTGTGAGCGTACAAGACACTAGAGGGAGCATCTTGGAACTTGGGCCACTTTCACCCTACGGCCTGGAGACCCGTTTTGTGAAGGGCGGCGGACGGAATGATTGTGAGGACTTCATTCGGACCCTGGTTCCTATGGCTCCTGGGTGCCCCCACCTCGAACCCCTAGGGACTCCTGAAAACCCTCCCCAGTACAGCACAGTACACAGTGCACCTCCAGATGAGTATTGCTCGCGAGTACTGCTCTCCCTAGAACATGGCCCCACACCTGGAGGTCTACACCTCCCCAAGTTCACCTTCTGGTTCTCTTGGCGGAAGGGAAATGGGTGGGGGTTGCGGTGGAAGGAGCAGGGGCTGCAGCCTTCGTACTAACGAAACCATTTCCTGAGTTAGGCGTCCGACTCAGGTCATGATCCCACGGTCGGTGAGTTGGAGCCCCCGTGTCGGGCTCTGTGCTGATGTCTCGGAGCCTGGAGCCTGCTTCGGGTTCTGTGTCTCCCTCTCTCTCCGCCCCTCCCCCGCTCACGCTCTGTCTGTCTCTCTCTCAAAAAACAAATAAAACATTTTTAAAAATTAAAAAAAAAAAACTATTCCCTAAAACAGCTGCCCCTTATGGGTTAATCCCCCCCCCATCCCCCCCGTGGCCCAGGTGTTGTTGGCAGATAAAATCTGTTGGTCCCCAAATGAACTCCACTCCACAGCCAGGGACAGTCCATGGAGGGCTCTTCAAGTACTAGGCATTCCACAGAGGAATAATTGAAGATGAAGTAAGAATTTGGGGCCCTCGGTCACTTCCCCCACTAGCCCTCACCTCTCCGACCCCTTCTCTCCTCCCTCACAAT